AAACGGTGCATTTGCCCAAAAATAAGTTTTTGAATTATCTTTAATTTAGGTGGCACCAAAGAGATGGATACACATACTAGCTACTCTTTTTTGGATGCACTGGGGTGTATAGCCAACCCCCTAGCCGAGATTGAGCATATCCAATCACTGGCAGCTATGCACTCTGTTGGCGAGCAGGAGTTTGAGGAATGTGAAAACAAAGCTGCGGNGAACAACTGAATTCACTTCTGCTTCGTGTATCTGAGATTAAACAATCCACAGAAAAATTGCGCGCCTCACTAAAGAATCTTCGATCGCTTCGAGTAAGTGGTTTTATTTTTCATCAACTTCATTGTTATTTTTGCTAGCACTCGAAGATATTTTTTTATTATTATTTTATTTTATTACTACTGTGTGATGAACAGCAGATAGGGGAAGCCCCATAGTTGCAAGGACCTGCTGTTGAGTAATGGAAACCGGTAACCAAAACCCCGGGACCTGGAGTGGCGAACCACATAAGGCCCCGATAGGTTAGACGGTACTGAAGAGGACGACAGCAGAGCTGCCTACCACCAAAGACGGGTGGCGGTGGCGGGGCTCCAACCTCCTACCATAGGGGTCAAAGCACGCCGGTGACTACCACTTATCCACTGCGCCCCCACCATCCACGTCAAGAATTGACGCAGAACGAAGATTTGGTCTATACGACATTACCTGCTCGAAATCCTGCTTACTGATCACGAATATTCATCTCCCTCAAAAGTGTCAGGCGTCATCAGCATCGTCTTACCGTGAAGCGAACACCACTGATCGTTGTCCAACTCGCAGTGCATACAAGTGATCAGATGTTACAGGTGTTTCCCGCCTTCCAGGTTCGGGGTTCGAAAGGCTGCAAGTGGCCGGTGAAAGACATCGAAGGATATGGTAGTGAACCGACAGCAGTGTCGTTCTTGTCATTTCCTATCAGGTCAGAATGCTTAACAAGGTATGCAGGCGCAGTTAGATTGTGTACTGCCTGTGTTGACCACAGAGATTCACTTTCTTTACCTTTCTCGGATTAGGCTCAATCCCTCTATATCTTGTACCTTCTCATTTACTTTGTGTACATTGTGAGCTTGGCAGCGATCAGGGAAGTTCGCTTCACTATATCTGGATGTACGATGCTGATGTTGATTCACTATTTTGTTAGGTTCACTGTTTGAAACTCATTTTCATACTCACTTTGCCACCGCCGCTGTTTTTATAACGCA